GGGACTGTGATGGATTATAAAGGGACAGTCTGAATAATGGATAATGAATGAAACAGTAATGGATAATAAAGGGATGGTCATGGATAATGAGAGAGTTAGCAGATAATGAAGGGGTGCTAATGGAAAATGAAGGGACAGTAATTTAAGTAATGAAAGGACAGTATTTGATAATGAAAGGACAGTATTTGATAATGAAAGGACAGTATTTGATAATGAAAGGACAGTATTTGATAATGAAAGGACAGTATTTGATAATGACGGGACAGTATTTAATGAAGAATGGACAGTATTTAATGAAGAATGGACAGTATCGAATAATGAAAAGACAATATAAGATAATGAAAGGACAGTTATTCACAATGAAGGGATGATAATGGGTAATGAAGGAACTGGCATTAATGAATACCAGTAGTCAAGGAGGATAAGAGATAATTAGCTTAATCTCAGTCTTTAAAAAAGTTAATGTTTTGTTAATAAAATTTAAAGCTTACGCAAAAATAACACATTTTTTGCAGTTGTTTTAATAGCACCAGAGAAGGGCGCGGGCATCCAATGAACACAGGGGAAGGGGGAGAATTACTAAACTTATAAATATTAAAAAAACTTTTTTTTTAAACCAACACAAATGAAAGAGTACTTCTATCACTAAGTTTGTAATGTCTAACAAGAACTGACATTTATTTACACCAATCATTTGATTTTCCAACAGAGCCTTATCGCAAAGAATGTATCTTTAGAGTTCAAAAAATTATTATGCAAAAAAAAAGAAAAAAGAAAATTCAGCGCAGATTTGTGACATTTAATTTCTTCTTAAGCAGTGAATGAAAGATTATGCAATTTTAAAATCGGTTAAAGGAATATTTTATAGATTTTTAACAGTAAAAACTGTTATTAACTTTTAATGATTTCAAAGTAAGCCTAAATCGCATTATAAATTCTGGAATGCTAAATGTATTGATTCACTAAATAATATTTTAAATACACACATTAAACACGAAAGTTCCTAAAAGAAATATTTGTTGTACAGTGCTAATTTACTTAGTCATCTAAACAGACAATCTCATTAATATAATCTCAATACTCCTCCCTAACAGTGTAGCAGATGGCTTCAGCTTGGTTTCCATAGCTAGTTAATAAGAATTTCAGATAATATTAGTGTAATGTATCAGTTTTAGTTTTAGGGGTCGGCTTGGTCAAGTCTGTAAAGCTCATGGTTGCTAAACCAAATAGTCGAACCCCATGGCAGATGAGCCTCAATAGCTGTGGACAGCAACTCTTCTAGGAGAGACAACTCCAGAATCAAACAACTAATGCCTTGTAGTTTGTTCTTAGACAAAGCCTATGGAAGCAAATCCAAAACAAAAAGCAGGCTGAAATCCGAGTCAACTGCCTATTTGGCGCAAAAAATGTTGACACATAATACTCAATTGTGTTCGAGGAAATCCCTTCCAACAATAAAAATCAAAGAAAAATTAGAAGTATTTGTTTAATTTAAGGCTAGGCACAGAGATTTTTTAAAAATTAATAATGGATACCTAGTAAACCTACAAAAATAAGAACGGCAACGAACAAACTAAAATGCAATTACAGTCATAGATAAGTTGAAATCTGACAATCTATGAATATAGTAGACAGTAGTCCACAATAAAAAATCAGAAGTCAGTGTGTTATAACTCCCATTGCATATGATACTACATACATAAACATTTTCAAACAGATTGTATAAGCAACACTGCCAGCTTATTTAGTCATTTATGCAGACTCAAGGGTCACCACAACCTTTGAATAATTAGGTGGATTTTTAATTAGTATGGTTATGCCAGACAGGGAAGGAGGGGGGGGGGGGATAATTAAAGCTCAGTCTAAATGTTATCTCTCTGTAATGGAAGGGGTTAATTAAATTGAACTATAATAAAGGGACAGTTTCTGTGTTTTTAAATTTTAAAAAAAATTTATTATTAGAAGTATAAAAAACAATTATAGATTAAACACAAAGGGTCTTTCCATAAGTTATATTATACTATGTAATGCGATATTTTTTGAAACATCATCATCCCTTATTTAAGATTAAACAGGGTTTCCTTAAGTATAAGCCACCATCCAGATTATTAAATATTTTATAAGCAAAAAATGTAAAATAGAACTTGGTTTATACCACTGCACATCCGCAGATAACAAAATGATAAACCATCACTTTATTTCATGTTATATGATACTGCACGACACCCCAAAGGGGTCTCATGTAAATTCTAAGAAGCTCATATGTATTTACGATGTGATTTATAGAAACTGAAAGTCAATTATACAAAAAAGAAACTCTACAAAATATATATCAATAGGTATTTCATAAAACTAGAGTGTTTTTTGCTTAATCTATGAAGCCAATGGCAAATTATAAAAAAATTTCTAACAGTGTAATCGCAAGATATTTTGCAAACATTTTTGTATTATTTGAAAATGAAAATGGGAATAGTTGAAACTATCCCTATAAGGATTATCAAGTCAACTAACAACTAGAACTAGATTCTATATTCGATGTATTAAGTTTAAGTCCTATAAAAATACCAGAAAGTATTCATCATCATCTTTTCCCGTTTGTGTCCAAGACATGTGGCTCAAAAAGAAGAATTAATTCCAGTACCCATAAGAGCTGGGTGGACTCATAAACATCCAAGATTCGAACTCAAGACTTTCGTGTTAGCTGCAGTATGCTCTACCACTCAACCTTGCGGCCCCGTTCCCGAATGTATTTACCACAAAAATACCAGAATTTATTTTGTGATTAATAATGATCAGAGATTATCTAGTTGGTCTAAATAAATAAAATAATAGATGCAACCAACCGCTAATTTGTTGTTTACAGCCTGATGTCAGCAGCCACATATTGTTTACTTTAAAATGTACTTAGGCCTAAACTGAGCAGGAGATTCATTCACAATCTTAAATTCCAGCCACCATTTGTATTCATAAATGATGTTCAAGAACACTCAAACCATATCATATGTTTAGTGAATAATTAAAGTATTTAAAAATTGTTAGAGTTGTAGGCAAACACAACTAAGTTTTTTTTTTAGTAAGTAAACAAAGTTAGCAAACAGTCATGATGATGAGTCATGACAAATATACTAATATATTTACATAGTAAACAGTCTACAATTAATTAAGTTAACAATACAAAACATAAGGCCTCTATAATAATAATGTTTTCCACAATAATTAATATAAATTAAAAATAGCTTAAAATAGGCTAAAAGAATCTTGATCAAGATCTAACATACTTTACTCACCGAAGAATTAGGCTTAGTAATTTAATCATCCACTTTATTTTGTTTGAATTGTAAAAATAAGGACTAAAATGAAGTACACTTCACTGCACATACAATTGGGCTAGATTTAAATCTAGATTATTATACAGAATAGGCCTAGATCTAGATCTAATTCTAGTCCAATTTTTTGGGCTTGCCAGGAGAGATGTTGAAATTAGTAAGCCTAAATTATTTAATAATAGGCCTAATAAATAATATTAACTGGCTACTACTATTATTACTTGCACACTTTGATCTAGAATCTAGTAATAGATCTAGGTCTAGATCTAGACTAGATTACTAGAGTACTAGAGTAGAGCGAGATCTACTATTAACCAAGTCAAGTACTTGAGTCTATTAGTCTAAGAGTTAATGTTATAATCTAGAGTCTAGATAGTAGATATAGAATCTAGTCTAGATCTCTATGTATTATGTAGATTATGTAGTTCTAGATTCTAAATCTAGTTGATTGTAGGTTATGTTAAATTAACACAAATTAGGGCTAATTTAATTATCCATGAAATGGTAAGCTTTAGAAATCAGGTTCATTTCTAACGTTAGCCAGAAACTGTCGGGTTTCTAGACAAATCTAAAATCTAGATTAGATCTAGATCTCTAGTTCAATCTAGACTCTAGACTGGAATCTAAATAAAGTCTAAAAATAACGTGTGTTTTAGCTTAGATCTAATATAATCAAGAAAACAACGAATAAATAGCATTCTTACTGCGACGAAAGTTAGTCAGAAACCCCACATATTCATTAACGATGAATCATGAATAGGCCTGCCCTGCGCTTTTATAAAAACTGTGACTTCGCTTAGTCTAGCTAGCAGCTCTGGCGACTCGCCCTATGGCAGTGTGTAGCCGGCAACCAAAGGTAGCAAAAAATGGCATTTTTAAAATGGCTACATGGAAATAGACTAATGCTGATTGTTTTTAAAGTTTCGATGTAGATCTGTATTTTTTTCCAAAAACATTCTAGTCTAGGCATGCAAACATTCACGGCATTAAGTCGTGACAACAACAAAGCAAGTTTATTTTTAGCAACCTACTTTTCCATTAACAGCTGAACGAACAAACCGGGGTAGGCCAACGACCTAGATTCACCGTCTGATTTTATTTTAGAGCTAATTCATCTTTCACTGCATTGAGCTGCAACCTATAAACAATGAGCATTGACTTCCTACAAGCTTTCAACACTGAATATACGCCAGGAAACTAAGCGCTTGTTCACAATTTTGTTTTCTTTCCGCACAGGCATTCTAATACAAACCTGGAATGAAGCTCTTATTTCCCGCAGCCAATCAGCTGTTAAGAGGCGACCTCATCTCACTATTTGCCTAACATGCGTTTCAGAGGATCAATATCAAGCCTTACTATACGGAACCGCTTGAAACTGCGCAATTTTTTATTCGCCTTTTATCAGACAGCTTAATAGTAAATCGATTAAATGTATGATTATTATAAAAATTATTAGACGAATGTTTTAGGCAGCTAAACCGCAGACAACACTTGGTGGTACAGAACATTATCGTCTCATACACATTGAAAACAATCCCATTTTAGGTCAAAGCCTGTCTGAGTGGTGTGGCCTATAAAAGATTTTAGGGGAGGAAAGGTAGTCGCTATAATAACAAAATAATAACCTCATCTTATTTTTTATTCTAATCTAAGTATATTATACAATTCACTTACTTGCAGTGTGTTCTTGATGGCGTAAATTGTTGTAAAGAACTTCATGTGTTCACAGTGACCTACGTCCCAGCCATGACAAAGGTTTCAGCTCGCTGAGTTGTGTGAGAATCAGCTAAGAATAGGCCAGTCTGCTATGTTAGCGTGCAGCGCCCTCTCCTGGCACGCGCTTGCCGTTACAGACTATCAGCAGGCCTAGTTTAAACTTAACTAACCCTTTGCTTTGTTCTACGTATTAAAACAAAAACATAATCATTCATAAAGCAATTTAAAAAAAAAACAATTCTTTATTAATTGCGAACTAACGATTAATAATTTAATCCATTATATTAAAATCCGTTTGCATTTTTACTGTGATATCTAGATCTAGACCTACTACTAACCAGGCATAATATAAAACAGATGCTATTGTTAAACTGCATGGTATTTGTAACTACAATTGACAACAATACATCAACTAATCAATTCAAGCTGTTTTCCCGTATTTGAGACATACATAAATGTAGTAGATCTCTAAGCTAAGCAGTAGCCTCCAACGTTTAAAATAGGAAAACAGTTTAAAAAGCTATTTACTAAATAAAACTTACACTTAGGCTAAGTTGCACAAATAAATATTAATGCTGCGTTTATCGGCAGGCGTTTTAAACGATTTTTTTATTTTACTTTGATTTAAATTACGTTAAGAAGCGGTTCTCAGTTTTCTTGACTGCAGGGGACAAACTAAATTCTAAATGACGTATTATTGGCCTGCATAATTAAAAAGAAATTAGGATATCACTGAAACGATCGGGAGAAATGTTGAAGACAAATGTAGACATAAATGCTAAGCACGTTCCTCATTATTAATTAGCTTAGGGGGTCGTCCATACATGACGTCACAACCCTGTGTGATACGGGGAGAGGGTGGGGGATCAGGTAGTGTGACGTCACACTTATATTTTTAAAAAAAAGTAATGTTTGAAACTGAATTTTTGCTGCTTTTTCGTCTTTTAAAATATGTTTTTGTAAATTGCAATAGAAATTGATCAATAGACTCTATGTTGACAAAGCCCAGTCAATATTTAAAAAATAATATATGTTTAAAAAAATAATTATACTCCTATTTTAATAAGGAGTTTTGTAGGCAAGGGGTGTGGCGTCATATTAGAAGATTATGGCTTTCTGTTAATATATGACGATGGGGAAGAGGGGGATTTAAAAAAGTAAAAAAAATAACATGACGTCATTTGTAGATGACCCTTTTAAAGCTATTCCAATTGGTTTATTTGTTTTGTAGTACTTTCGTTTTTTAACTTGCTTTTTAAAAGTGTGTAATAACTGTTTGGATCCTGGTCTTGAGTCCATAGGACATCCATGAGTCAGCCCAGCTCTGACGGGTACCTGACTCACGTTAGGGAAAGTAAAGGCGGCTGGGCATAGAGCTACCACTCCACACACTCATATGCCGAGGTCACGGTGAATTCTACCCCCATCTTTACGTTATCAAGTAAACAGCAAACCACTGCAGCCCCAATCATCAATCACCCTGTGAAATCCGACTTAAATGTTCGTTTGCAGGCCAATCCACCTGTGTTCCAGCTTTCAAAGAGTCATGGCTGATTTCCAGCCTCCACTACATTTTTTTTAACTTCCTTTAAGTTTTAAACTTTTATTTTTCTCTTTCTTTCTGTGGTGATAGTGCGTTGTGTTCGAGAAAGGTGTAGGCGTTCGGGCGAGGCAATAACTCAAGTACTTTATAACTTTCGGTTTGCACTTTTAGTCCTTAAAAAAAAAGTGTAGGCGATCACGGGTATTCAGGGCGTAACTAGGGGGTGAAGAATGGTTGGGGGAGTGTGTGGCCCGGGCCCTGCAATTTTTCTTTATGCAGTGTCAGTGGTGACAGGTCGCCCACTGATCGTTATCTGGAGACCGTATGATCATATAACATTGTAGCCCCCCCCCCCCAGTGGCGTAGGCAGGATCGTCTCAAGGGGAGGGGGGGTCCAATTTTTACCCGGGGACAATATTTCGATTTGCACCCCCCCCCTCAAACTTTCGATTTGCACCCACCCCTCATACTTTATATATATATATATATATATATATATATATATATATATATATATATATATATATATATATATATATATATATACCGAGGGGTCTATGGGGGGTAATGACCCCCCTAACCCACCCCTGCCTACGCCACTGCCCCCCCCCCCCCTAACCCCAAGATGTAGGACTCGGAGAAAAGTACCCTTAAGGATTTGATAATCTCTATGACAGATAAAGTGGAGTTCATCACATCTATCCCCATCGCTCTTTACTTTCCCCAGAGATAAGTAGAGCCCTTATACCGACTCAGAAGAACCAAACGCAAGACTTTCTCGTTTGGATTCATGCGCTCTACCACTCGACCACGCAGTGTACCAGCCTATAAAACGCTATTATAACCTTTCTTAATGATCCAATGAAGTAATGTGTCCGCCCCCTAGATCTCCAGAGCTAAAACAATTCTGGCGGTGGTTACACCAAGCGTACAGAGTTTCTTCCAGGCATCTCTTCGGGGGGTTCCCCCCCCCCCCCCCCCCGAAAAAAGTCTACCCCCCCCCCCCCCCCCCCGAATGAAATGGAATTTATATAGAATATATATACTTTTAACAGTGTCCGCCCCCCCCCCCCCCCGAAAATTTCAAGTGCCCCCCCCCCCCCGGAGAAAAAAGTCTGGAAGAAACACTGCAAGCGTATCACATATCTTGTTGTTGTGAGAGAAATTACCAACCACCATATTCTATGTTTTGAGAACCATTGTCCTGGTAGACTTGAGAGAAACTAACCGAAATCACTAATTCACCCCCCCCCCCCCATCCCAACAATTATCAAAACCTCTCTCCCTATTCTCCTCCAAAAACAATTGCCAAAAATCACTCCCACCCCCACAAAAATAACTGTTCAAGGTACACATTAGACCCCCCCCCCCCCCAACCACTATCAAAACCTCTCACCCTGTCCTCCTTTAACAATTGCCAAAAATCACTCCCCCCTCCCACATATTTGCTCAAGGTACTCAATAGCCCCCACTCCCCCACTTCAGTGTCCATTCACAACTTATATCTTGTACTGTGCCTGAAATCAAAGATAAACTAGCCCAGGTGTTCCTATCCAGCAGACCTTGCACAACATTACCCAAGACGTCGCCTGGGCCCCATTCAACAAAAATTAGACACCCCAACACGCCAACAAACAGCACTCTGTGGTACAGCAGAAACGTAGTTTTTAAAGGGTACCATTGTAACAATATAAACCTTTTAGAAATATGCGTTGTTGCCTTTTAAACCAGATCACAGAAAAGGTCAAAAAATCAAATTGTAAAATAAAATAGAATATAACTTTGATCAAAATAAATGTCAAAAACGTCAAAAAATCTAAATATAAAATAAAATAGAATATAACTTTAATCAAAATAAAGGTAAAAAACGTCAAAAAATCAAATTGTAAAATAAAATAAAATGTAACTTTGACCAAAATAAAAATTGTTCTTTTTCGTTCTATAAATAATTTTAAAATTAGATTTCCTCCAACACAATTAAGCATTACGTGTCAACTTGTGAAGCGCCATTTACTTTGACTCCGTCTACAGTTTATTTTTCTATCTTGATTTGATTCCATAGCCTTTGTCCAGCAAGAACAAACTGCAAGGCAGTAGTTGTTTCATTTAGAATTTTCCTCTTCTAGGTGAGTTGCTGTCCTCAGCTAATCAGCCTCATCAGCCTATTGTCAAACCTAAGGACTTTTTGGATCTTCCGTCCGAACAGACAGTCTCCTTGCAAGTAACTTTAGACCCACTTAAACGTTATTTTTAGCCATAAAGTAAAAAAAAATTCCTCTTTAGACCTAATGATCCATCGGGCTAATAAAGTAGAGTTATGTTTCTTGACCTCTTCATATGAAGGGATGATGTGCGCAGCCGCTTTTACTTTCCCTAATGTGAGTTTTACTGACTTGAACCCGGATTCGAACTCGATACTTTCTAAATCTCTGCCGCTATGCCATGGTGTCCCGTGTGCGTAATAAAGTACAATTGAAATCTTGTATCATGGCCAAATTCAGTGTTTCTTCCAGACTTTTTTCTCCGGGGGGGCACTTGAAATCTTCGGGGGGGGCGGTAAACTTTCTTCGGGGGGGCGGACACTGTTAAAAGTATATATTTTCTATATAAATTATATAAATTTCATTTCGTTCGGGGGGGCGGTAAAAATTTTTCGGGGGGGCTTCGCCCCCCCGAAGAGATGCCTGGAAGAAACTCTGGCCAAATTTGAACAACAGATAAGGCCTAAATATCCATTAGAGCTGGGTGGACTCATGAACGTTCCACTGAACTGAACCCGGATTCGAAACTTTCGGGTTAGCGTTTTAGCACTCTACCGCTAGGCCACGCCGTCCCATATCGTTAGCCGTGGGTTTAATACATTTCTGAATCACTAAAGAGTTGTATATTTTAATACCTGTATGGCTTATCAATAAAATAAACAAACCTAACATGTATTATCTTAAAACAAAATTTTAAAAATTAATTACTTAATTGCTCTGCAAGTTCAGTAGGCCCCTATACTGCAATCTAAATGCAGTTTTTGAATTGCACGCTACACATTCCTCAGCCTTTAATTCTGCCGGACGGAACAAAATCTTGCATCATAATATTGATCGCGTGTTTTTCCGTCACTCCCAGACAAAGTAAATCATGCATAAGGTTATCTTTTCTCTCGGCACAGCTGAGCAGATACGCTGAGGATCACTAACAGGGTAGCGTGATCCAGTCATTGTATGGCCCTTATAGCGTGATCTAGCCCTTGTATGGACATCACAGCGTGATCTAGCCCTTGTATGGACATCACAGGGTAGCGTGATCTAGCCCTTGTATGGACATCACAGGGTAGCGTGATCTAGCCCTTGTATGGACATCACAGGGTAGCGTGATCTAGCCCTTGTATGGACATCACAGGGTAGCGTGATCTAGCCCTTGTAAGGACCTCACAGGGTAGCGTGATCTAGCCCTTGTAAGGACCTCACAGGGTAGCGTGATCTAGCCCTTGTAAGGACATCACAGCGTGATCTAGCCCTTGTAAGG